AAAAAAACCCCCATGGCTTTTGTAAAGGGGGCGGGTTTTATTTCCCCCCCCCCCCCCCCCCCGCCCGCCCTTAGTCTCATGACGTACCCCCCCTATCCTCACTTGTACCTATTCCCTACCCCCCCCCCGGTGTTGCCGTACATCGACGACCTCCCCCCGTGTCCAGGCGAGCGGCACAACCGTTTTGTCATCGACCATGGATATGTAACGCCCCTGCCTTCGCGTCTTGTATCGTTGTTTGTTCTGACGGAACGCGCGAATTTCGTCAGTACATGGTCAACATCTCTACGCTGTCATTCCGCCGAGACATGTACATGTAACACCCCTGCCGTTGCATCCTCTCTTTCGACGTTGGCCATGATCGTACGTACCATGGTACGAATTCCGTCACGTACATGATCACTCCCTCCGTGTTCGCCCGGGCCGGCTTCATCTGCACGGTCTTCCACCTGTACTGCTACCTCGGGATGGCCTTGTTGCCGTACATAGACTACCCCGCTATTGAGCGCTGGTCTGACGCAACTGTGCTGCCGTCGCTCTCTCTCTCTGTTGCTGTATGTCCTGATGGTACATACCATGGTACGGATCTCGTCAGGTACATGATCACTCCCTCGGTATTCGCCCAGGCCGGTGTCATCTTCACGGTTTTCCACCTGTACTGCTACCTCGGGATGGCCTTGTACGGCGGGGTGGTCACCCCTGGTGCTGATTTCGGGGTGAGTTTTTTTTTTTTTTTTGCTTCCGTCTCTGGCAGGGAGGGCTGTTGTCTGCGATATGAATGAGGGACGAAATGTTGCTGTCGTATGTATTGTTTTTCAATTTTGTTTTTTCGTCAAGTTTTGGTTTTTGGGGGAAGATGTATACTCATATAGTGTTGGCGACTGACGATAAAAAAAAAAATACAGTATTTTCTCTTGGAACAGTACGCCTTTTTAAAACTTCCACGACCGCGCCCCTCTTGTGTCCCGGTGAAAAATCCTGTGCATCAGGACACGCCGTTCGCCAACTCGCCGTACTACTACGAGAACAACTTCAACTCCTACCCGGAGGGACTGGTGACTCTGTTCGAGCTCTTGGTAGTCAACAACTGGTGGGTGGAAGAAAATGGATGAACAGAGAGTGTGTTTATGGGGTAGGGTGTGTGGTCAACAACTGGTGGGTGGAAGAAGAATGATTGAACAGGGGTGTGTTGAAGGGTAGGATGTGCGGTATCTTCTGCATCGGTCGCCCTCATTGAGAGCGATTTTATTTTTTGGGCTCATGTTGACCCGGAAATTGTTTGCAGTTTTATATTTTGGGTTTATGTTGACCCGGGAGTGTCTTTGCCACCACGTTGTGGTCCTGTGTGAGGTGTGTTTTCTGCGGGTGTGCTATCTTGTGTCGTACGCGGCCCTACGTCCAAGAAAGACATTCAGGAGGACCCCCCCCCACACACTCTCTCTCACCCTACCTCCCACCTACCCACAGCCCACCCCCGAATAATTCGTCGAAAAGGAACACAATCATCACCGGTTGCACCCCCCGAATGCCCTACCCCCGACCTCCCCACAACCTACGTTTATCTACACCCACCCCCATGTGTTTCGTCCAAAATCGTAGACATACAGGT